TATATATCCTCTGTTGTTGTTCAGCACTCATGTAAGTACAGTACATGTAAGTTGTGATGGTTTATCTTCACGATATTTGTCCCTCCTCCACTGAACCGCTGAAGTGACAGTGATGAGTGCACTGTTTTTATCCAAAGTTGAACATTTTTCAACTCTCTGAGTTCTGAATTAAAAAATAGCCCAACCGGCAGAGCTCAGCACAGAATTCATGTGGCGCTCTTATTGCGAAGCTTAAAAAGAAAATATGCAGGCCTCAGAAAAAAAAACACTTTGGTGGACACAGCCCCTAATGCAGTGTAAAAGCCACTGGCTACAGTTAAAAAATAAATGAAAACAAATTATTCCATTCCTTTAGAATAAAGTCTCTATGATTTGACCTGCATGTCCTTGGTTGTGTGCTATCAGAATCAACATGCACACTGCAAGTGGTTTCAGGTTAAAGAGCTGTCAATGATCCTGATAGCGCTTAAACTTACTGATGGTAATCACACAAATGGACATGTACATATGGGCGGTTTTGTAGAACCAGGGCAAATCTACTGTGAAAGCCCCAGTAATGCGGTAGTATGCATCACTGTTTCTCAGGCACAACGTAGTTTGTACCACTAAAAATAAAACACCACAAATGGAATGGTGACGTTCAGGATTACATTAAAGGAATATTTCACTCTTCTCTGCAGGAACTGGGGATTTCTACTGCAGTGGGAACGACCTGTCCAACTTCACAAACATCCCAGCGGGCGGGGTGGAGGCGATGGCCAAACAGGGTGGAGAGCTGCTCAGGTGATCACTGATTCGTTCATTGCTTGATCAGCTGACCTTCTGATAATGAGAGAGAGCTCACCAGCATATTAATCTTGTTTTATAGATTACATATGGGGAGTGAGTTATGACGTGTGTATGAATCAGTGCAGCTCGAGTTGTCTGCCTCAACTAGCTTGCAGGCATCACTCCATGATAGGCCACGATCAGCTGTTGCTGCTGTATAACACAGCGCTGGAGGAGTCATTCTCCTCCAGGGCCCGGTTGCACCAACTGGTCTTAAGCCTGGTCTTAAACTAAGTCGGTCGTAACTTGCCGTTCTAAGTCCGACCTTATAGTTACGCCGGTTGCACCAACAGGGCATAAGCCTTCTTCTCACTAAGACCGGGCGTAAATCTTACACCTAGTCAAGAGCAGGCGTAAGGTAATTATCAAGCTGCTCTCATGCGCTCTAGAGCGCAGAGAGCGCAACTTGGTTATGGCACGTCTCATCCACCGTCTGTATACGAGCGGGCATTTAGACGGGAGAGGGTAATTAGGGACAGAAGCAATTGGACATAGCCTATATAATGACGAGGAGCTGATTGAGAGGTTTCACTTCAGTCGGAGAGATCAGTTTGAACTTACTGAAGAGCTGTCACTGGATTTACAGTTTGTGTTGGGCTGCAACACAGCACTACCACTGGCCTTCCCACCAGGCAGGGGAATCCTCCCCAAATACGTCAACAATGATGTCACTATAAATTGAGGTTTTCAGAGAGGACCCCCGCCAGTTGGATGATTTTTTTTTTGGAGGAGATGTATTTTTTGCCTTGTTGAGAAGATCTTTCCACTTCTTCCTCATGTCAGCCTCTGTATGAAGGCAGCCAGAGTCTGAACACGTATTGATGTGCCCCGTTATCTCTGCCCATACCAACTGTTTTTTCTTAATTGTGATACGTCTCTCTGCTGGCTGTACAGCTTGATTAATTTTCTAATTTCAGTGTCGGTAAAGTTTTTCGTTGATCCTTAATGTTTTCTTCAAATCTTAAACTGTAAATAAACTGTCAACACAGATGAGAGGGGCTGTCAACTGTCAATTGTCATCTGTCAAGCACACGGGGTGATTCAGCGGCGCGTCATTTAACGTCACCGCGCTCCTCTAGGCAGGCTGCAAGGGGCATTCCGGGGGCATTCACATGGACGCACACAGCTAAAACCAGCGTAGCTAAGACCAGCCGTAAGCCCTGTTGGTGCAACCGGCGTAAGTCCACTCTTTAAGACTGGTCTTAACAAAGACCGTCTTAGGAGTTACGACCAGGCTTAGTAAAGACCAGTTGATGCAACTGGCCCCTGGTTTCTCTGCCAATTAGAGCAATAATGAGCTAAAACAGCAGCAGTGGCTAACATCAGACACTGAGCTATTATACAGTCCCAGCTATTTCAAACCAACACCAAAACGGCTGGACTCTGTCATAAAGCCCATTAATAAAAGTCGGGAAAATTTAGCTGTATGATGCTAAGAGTTAGCCCTGTCACTGCGGGTGCTCCAGTTGCTGTGCTCACACTCCTGCAGCAGTAGTCTTATGATCAACAAAAGCCATTTTACACATAGATGGTGCTATAGAGCCGCTAAGTCCCTTCTTTACACTAACTTTGCATTTGTTGCTGCAGTGTGTGATTATAGACAGCATGCTAGCATCCCAGAACCAAAAGAGGCATTACAGGTGTCACATGTAACCAAACAGCGTTGGCCTCCAGTGTGACATAAAACATATGCATCTACAGTGCTTTATAAACAAAAACAATGACCTAACATGTCAATAACAATCATTTACCATCTCTATTATATGTCTATATCTCATACTCTGCTTGGAGGGTGAGGAGCTCCTGGACCTCTTTCTTTTCACTATTTTTGGACATTTTTGGCTGCTGTTCTTCTTTGAGCTAGCTGCTTACTACAACTACCACAGTGGGTCACACATATAACACGTCATCAAAACATCACACTTGTGTGAGACACAGTCCCACACAGGGACACAGTCTAGGTCTATGGACCTGTCCCACCAGCCGTCCCTTTTGCACAAGCACCGACTCAGTCAATCAATGCAATCAATCAATTTTGTTTATAAAGCCCAATATCACAAATTGCAATTTGCCTCACAGGGCTTTACAGCATACGACATCCCTCTGTCCTTAGGACCCTCGCAAAGGATAAGGAAAAACTCCCCCAAAAAAAACCTTTAACGGGGAAAAAAACAGCGATCAATTCGGGAGAGGTTAAAGTCGGTGCGGGAAACCTCTGTTACTGAAGGACATGGTATTAAATTTAACAACGGAGGAATCATTTCCTTAAATTTTGTGACAGCAGTATCTGATAAACATCTAGAATAGTAACTGTTGCTGAGTGGCGTGTAATTGAGTAAAAAGAAATCAAAAGTAATCAAATAATGATCCGATAGTGAGGGATTCTGTGGAAAGACTGTTAGGTTATCAGTTTCAATTCCATATGTCAGAACTAGATCGAGGGTATGGTTAAAAGAGTGAGTGGGTTCATGTACACCCTGACTGAAGCCAATGGTGTCTAATAATGAGATAAACGCGGTAGCCAGGGAGTCAATATCAACATCGACATGAATGTTAAAATCGCCTACAATAATAACTTTATCTGATTTAAGAACTAAACTGGATAAAAACTCTGAGAATTCAGATACAAATTCAGAATATGGGCCAGGAGCACGGTACACTATAACAAATAAAAGTGGCTGCGAGGTTTTCCAGGTCGGATGTAAAAGACTAAGAATGAGGCTTTCAAATGAATTATAATCTAGTTTAGGTTTAGGGCTGATTAACAGACTAGAGTTAAAAATGGCTGCAACTCCCCCTCCTCGGCCGCTGCCTCGAGGAATGTGGGTATTATTACTGGGAGGTAGGGTTGGGCGGTATGAGCAAAATCTTATATCACGGTATGAGTAATTTCATATCACGGTAACGGTATTTATCGCGGTATGGTTTTTTCCCTGTAAATTCAATTAATGGCTTAAAATAACCATACTGTCGCATTTGATAATTTTCCTCTTTTATTTTTGAACTTGGAAAAACAGGAAAAATGCCAGTGCAGTGCAGTATATTTAAAAAAAGAAATCACGCACAGCATCACACAAATGTGCATCTCAGTATATGAAAAGAAAAAAAAAACCCTGAGTTTTTAAACTAAGCCTCGCTTCAATTTGTGCAATATGAACTCACAGCAGCTGCAGCATAACATTATTTTAAAGAAAATATAATAATATAATAAATAATAAACCACAAAGAATGTGCAAATGTCTGGTAAACACTGAACTCCAGCTTTAACTTAAGCTATAGTGTGCGTGCAAATGTAAACACAGAGCTCCAGCTTAATAAGA